CAGCAAGTTTTAGATACTCGTATTGTAATATGCTTTCTAATAAGCAAATATCTGTTTTCAGCATACAATGTAAATGTGCCTTTATAACCCATTATACTTACCGATAAAGTTCGATTGCAGCGTTGGTTGCTTTAATAAATCTTTAAAGAGTGTTTGAGTCATAATAGATCTTTTGCTCGGGTGATTTATATGACGTTTTATAAGCATAACGTTGTGTTTATCTTTAATAACTAACAATTAGTACTCCCATATATAATTTAATTTCATTTTAATAACTAAATATAAAAAGTTAGATTTATTTTTAATTCGTATTTTCATTATTCTGATTGAAGTATTTAAATGCGGGAACAATACTGTTTATACCCGATTATATTGTCAAAAGGTTTAGGAGATTGTTTCAAAATTCAATGTTATATTTAAACCAGAAACTGCGATGTCGCACAGTTGATAAATTTTACTTAACCAAGCCTTAGCGCGGACAACGTACCGCCTGATTGCTTTTTAATAGCTTTCGAGATACCCATGTAAAACCGATCCACCTCTTACAACCCGCTATGTAGGTTGATAGCTTGTTTTTGCTGATATTCTCATAACTCTGGAAATTGAAGAGATACTGCTTCTAATTGGAATACTTCGATGTTCACTGATACGTCTATATATATTTTCACACAAGCATTTATATAATGATACAGAATATACGTATGTATATTATATCGGATTTATTATAAATTCGTTGTTTTTAAAGAGAGTGACGCCATCGTCGCTGACGTCACTAATGTCACTTCTTTTAGTACGTGCCGTGATAATTTTAAAATGAAACTTCAATTGTTCTAACTTTCCTCGTATTTCTCGAAGGTTCCTCATAATCACATTGTTCAAAGGTCCTCACTCACTGAACTCTGCCGACGTGCGTCTAGACGTCATATATATACCAAGATTCAAACATAGTTCTATTCTCCTTTTAAATAGTCTTTGATTTCGTTTTACTTTTAACAATAATCATGAATATGTAATAGTCTGTTACTTTGTGTTTTTTTACTATATATTTTCATAAGAATTGATTGCAGGCTCAAGTTATTTTCAGGTCGCATCCGTCATCAAAGCTGATAGCGCCGATATATATAATATGTATCTATGTACGTACATATCATACATAGATGATACACTGATTTATTGTATTAGAATGTTCATTTCCTTAAAACTATATAAAAACAGGATTTATTGCAAAGACCGTTCATAAGTCCTTTTTGAGTATCATTATTAAAGATTTACCTTTGAATACATATATTATTATGGCAGTTAAAAAGTTACATTATTCATAAATATTTATAAAGACTTTGTGATTCATTTGTAATGTATGTACAATGTTGTGATGGAAAACTGTATAGTATTATCATTACGTTTCATGACGGTAATGATTGGGACAATAACTCCACAATTACTGACAGATACGGTCGGTCCAACTCATGAGTTAACAATTATAGTACATACTATAAAATGCAAGTTTCTGTTTTTCATATTGCAACAATTAGTTTACAATATAGGAATAATTAAAAATCACATAATAAAATGTATAAACGACTCCTATGTTATTAAGGTTAATTCACAAATGATTCAAATTTGCTTTTTTGGTTCGGATCAAAAATATTTTAAACAATGTTTTTTATATGAATTTTATAATCGAAATTCACCATTGGCGTGATAATTAAAAGCTTAACAAAATAGAATCATTATTATAATGATTGTATATTGTATAATTATTGTTTGTTTTATAGAAATAGTTATTGAAATGAAAATTTTAATAATACCTGTTAAACTTGTTACGTTACATACGTCGGAAAATTCGCGTCCTCCTCGAAGACTTAGTCTTAAAAAAAAATCTATTCTGTACTTTTTTTTGGAGTACAATACAATTAGGAAAGTAAACAAAGTAGGAGGATATATACATATTTGGCTTTAAAAATTACTTGACCTAAATCTCACATGTGAACTATAGAAAAAGCTAGTGTTTACATTCTATAAGACTTACCTGGTTGAATCACTACATTTGTGACTTTATATTTTTCATTTGTCAAATTAATTTTATTTATTATTTTGTCAACAGCAGATAAAGGATTAAATATATATTTTTTTGTTTTTCTAAAAATCTATATGTACAAGGTTTTACAAGTAGATTAATCTTCTCATTAATATTTTTGTTTTTTATCATTTAATTTTTTATGTGTCATCATATAAGATCAATTTTACTTCGTCATTTTTTAACCTGGAATCAGGTAGTTGAATATTTAAATTAATAGGAATAGACTGTAAGTCTTACATATTTCCTCATCATGATAAATATTTTTATAGACTCGGTAGTTTCATCGTAACTTGGGTTGATTTGATGAGATCTAAGAATTTCGCGAGTATTCATTTAAATTAATCAAATTTTTTCAGATTACTTCGTGTATTTTAATATTTTTAAGTCTACATACTCCCATCGTATTATAAAAATAAAAATATTCGTATAGTAGTCCATAAATAATAGGACTATAGTATAGTGGCCCATAAATAACAGGACTATAGTATAGTAGTCCATAAATAAAATACATATTATAGGTGGTAGAGCCTAGCTGTAGTCAGTTACTACAGCTCGAACATGGGCTGGCTCGATCGGGGAAGTACCACCCTCTCACAGAAGATCGGCGTGAAGTAGCCTTTAATGGCTGCGTTTCGTCCGATGAGTGAGAGAGCCGGTTGCCCTTTCCCTATTCCCACCCTTTCCTGCCATTTCCTTATTCCCACCCCTCCCAATCCCTAAAAAACAAGGTCCGCAACAAGATGTTGCGGATGTCAATGGGCAACGGTAACCACCTTCCATAGAGTGGGCCGTCTGCTCGTTTGCCACCTTTGATAAAAAAAAATAAAAAAATATTAGTTTCATTGGTATTGATTTGACTCAGATTTTCACACTTTTTTGGTAACAAATAAATAAGTTTAAGTTTAAACATGAATATATAATAGATATAACAGAATAAGGCATAACGCAGTAAAGTGTTTCAGTCGAGTGAAGCAAAACGTTCGGTGTAAATATAGACGTACATTCTCCTTTATAAGAAATTCTCACGCCTCAGGGTAAATTGCCGGGAAAAAGGTCTTAGCGTGTAGTTTACTTAAGGAACGTCCAAATATAAGACTCAATAGAGAAACCAAAGTGAGAAAATGTGAAAGTGTGAGATATAATATTTTAGCTGGTTTTCGGATCATATATGTAGCTAGTATTCGTTTTTTTAGGTTTCCTTCTAAAGGTTGTAAATTAACAATTTTAATATAAGTTTTAGTTTATCCTGTGACAGTAAAATAATGGATAATATTTTTTTATTCGACCTCATCATTCTAAATCTGATTTGGTTTGAACTGAACAATTTAGTTTCATCATTATTTAAAATTACAGAATAAAATGTATAATCATAATATAACAATAAGTTATTGTCATTCAAAACTTTACTTACATAATGTAGAATTGTTTCCTACAAATAGGTAATTAAATTTAGAGGAATTTTCAAAGTAATATAATGTAAATAGCATAAAATGGAGAAATTAACGACATATTTATAAGATCGAATATGTCTTAAAATCTCAAAAATCGATGGAGAACATATTATTATTGTGAGATTAATAAGCTGAGTCGATTCCAGTGCATTCTTATAACTACACATCTATTTACATATAAATATAGATCCGCTGAAACATTAAAATGACGTGGCAGTTGTATCCGTAATGCTACTCCCCAACTTGTTGAACGAACAAGTAAACAACAAAACGAGAAGTAGGTTGAAAACAATTATTCTGACCCTTAAATCCTCTTTGTAAACTTGAACAATGCCGCGACAAGTACTTTGTAAGCAAGAGAAACTTAGCCAACAAACTATGGAGTTCACGCAAGTTTTTGAAATAATATCATTATGAGAATTAAGAAAGGAATGTCTGCATAACTCGAACAATTCAGTTATGAATATCTTATTAACGTTGTTATTCGTTCCACTGCACGTATAAATATATTTTTTTTGAATAAAAATAAACGCAATTGTTTCATACATATGTTCAGATAGCACCTTTATCAAATATTTTAAGAATCATAGAGACTTTATAAAAATTTATCATTTACATTATTTTACAAACGTCTTAATCAGTCAAGAATTTCTTTTTCGGTATTAAATCTGATGACTTTACCATATTATTAGCTTGTACGTTATAACATTAAATTGCATACTTAATTGGCGTGGTACCTCTAATTATATGATAAACCTTATAGTTACTGTGTTAGATGAAAAAAGCATATTTAGCTATATTGCTAGCATAAATGTTTCCAAATACATATATCAAAGGCTTATACCATATTAAAGTGATGAGAGATGTGTACAAAGTGTATGAGGGTAGAAAAATAATAAGTGAAGATAAATAAGTTGGTTTAAAATATCTACATGCATTGCAACTTTCTGTCATATCGTGTGCGGTTGCGGGCCAGACAGACCAAAAGCAGCATAAAAGTTATAAAAACGTAATTAAAAGTATTTTTTAATAGTATCATTCAACATGAACAGAAACCTGTCGATTGCTGCTAACGTAAGAAAAATTCATATTGTTTGTATAGTACGGACTTCCTGAGTTGGTTACATAATACTATAAAATTTTGTTTTTATTAAAATTTGAAGTATTTTATTAAATAATATCATATTACCAATATACCCATGTACCTTGTTACGTTTTTTGTTATTCCGATAAAATATTAGAAGCATAATTTCGATTAATACTCAAATTGACGTTTAAGGGATTTATGAATCATTGTGGAATGTCATTGAATTCTACTAATATTCGGACATAATGGCTTTTTATTTGGCCTTTAAAGCATCCACTTTTGTAAACCGTTGATTTCGATTGTGCTGACATTTTTTATTTCTCTTTATGAAACAGTATGAGTGTATATATATTGGAAATAATATTTAATTCATTTGTTGCAGGATAAATTACGCATTAACTGGTTTAAAGCCATGGTGGTGGCATGCCTGCAATGTTCTGTTGCACGCAGCATGTTGCGCGTTAGTCGCGCGAGCATGCGTGACAATCGCGCGTTTACAAAGACCTTTCGCCGCATTAGCGGCATTGCTGTTTGCGGTACATCCTATTCATACCGAAGCGGTGAGCATATCATGAAATAATACACAAATATGATTATTAAAATATTGTATATTTCATGTAAATATTGTTACAAATTTTGTTGTATTTCAACATTAAAATATCTATCAAAAACGGCTGCCATGATTGTCTGCTGCAGTCCGCTTCGTTTTTCAAGTCTCATGAATATGTATCCAATGCATGTGATATGAAATATGTAATGCGTTTCATTTTTCACAGGTAGCCGGTGTGGTAGGCAGGGCGGATGTACTCGCTTGCATATTTTTCCTATCCTCGCTTCTAGTTTATCATAGGTGAGAATTATTCATTTCAATTTTCAGTTTAGTTTCGGATAAAGTTTATCTGTGAATTCTAAATTCTAAATAACAGCAAAATATCAATTCGGAAAATCATTTTTTAAATTAAACTTGTTAAATATTTATTTCCTTTATGTTAAAGATGAGGAGAACGACGTTTAATTTAATTTAATTATATGAGGAAAAATGTTTTAATTGAACCAAACAATAGATAGTTTTCAAAAACTGTGCTAATAAGTGGATATTTACTTTATAAACTTGACAGTTAGAACACTATATCTGAAAATACATGTTTAATATACTTCATTATGTAAAGTTCTTTTAAAAATAAATAATGTTCTTTATAAATAGCAATATTAAAAGGTATTATGTATTCTTGACGACAAGGTTGTAGAAAATGGCAGTGTTAAAAGTGTGGCATTATATTTCACTCAATCAGGCTTAAATTGGTAAAAAAATGATTGAAACTTTCTTGTATAAATAACCTGTAATTTTATGGTCATTTACAAAACGGTAAGGGGGCGGGATTTTGGATAAAATGGTGGATTTATTTGTAACGACTTGGATATGATTTACCAATTAGTTGACAAATTTTTAATATATATGTATGTAACTTTTACAATATTTTTTGTCACTCAAAAAGATTTGCTCAAAAATAACTGAAAATAAACTTACACATCTAGAAATAGCTAAAGTATAGTAGGTTTGTTACGTAAGCGAAAAATATGAAAAATTTAACGAGCATTGCGGGAAACACCGTTGAATAGAAATAATGTTATATAAAAAGTGACGTAACTGCCTCCTTGACATAAACACCAAGCCGTGTGAACCAGAAGACTCCTGATACCTCACAAGTAATGGAATGGTATTGCTAGTCTGGTTTAGGTTATAAGTTTTAATTGTGCAAATATTATGATATATATGTATATGTAAGGTTCGTTTTCCTGTAACCTCTCTATGGCAGTGAAACTCACCCTGTACAAATATAATTACTAATAATAAAAATAACGATTTATAAAAGCAAAACGATAACAAACAATTGGAAATGAAACTGTTGATTCAGTTTTCAAAGTCATTGCTTCTTTAATGTGTTGTTAATTCTCCTTTCTCTAAATTGTTTAGACCGACGAGTAACAAGAAATGCGTATGGCTGAGTATTATTTTGGGAGCTCTTAGTATGCTGGCTAAGGAGACTGGCGTCACAATCCTGTTTCTCAACCTGGCTATTGACTTCTACAGATGTTGGCCATTTGTAAAAAGGTAATATTCGAATGGATCATAACTTTTGGTTCTGGAACATTTGTAGCGGTTACTTGAACTGAATACTAACCATACTTTGACTATATAACAAGATATCGCCGATAGTAAAGTTAATGAATTACTTAAATTCAATCGTTGAAAATAATTGTATTTTTTAAGTTTGATATTTATTGACAAACATCGATGGATATCTGCGGGTTGACGCTTTATTTGTATATGTCACGTTCATCTTAAAAAATGTTGTCATACCTAATACACTTTATATAGAAAATCTGTTTTGTCCGTTTCTCCTCTATTTGAACGTTGATATGTACGATTAAATGTTCACTCAGTCGAGCAATTCTCTTAAAAAGGGTTGCAAAGTTTTCCCTACAGGTATTATTATCTTAATTATAATACGGTCACGTGCAAAAATATTAGGTAGTCAGTATTTACGTAAATTTTCGGGCTATTTATCATACGAAATTGAAATAAAATATTATTATTATTCAGTTAATTTTGGAGTCACTAATGAGATAATCGTTGAATTCTGCAGTTGGTACAGTAACAAACAAAACGTGTATGGTTAGAATAAACTAAAAAAAGTAAATAAAAAAAAACATACCAAATTCGAAGCTGTAGTTTGTTAAAGTATTTTCATATACTTCTGTGTATCATTAATTGTACGTCGCTATCTAAATTGTATAAAAAAAACTTCACTAATTCTTTACGATGACATAAAAATGAATAAATATTGGTATGCCCAATACTTTTGCACATAGCGTATAATTTTAGGTTTTGTTTTTTTTTATAACATGTTTGTGATTTATTTTCTTACAAATTTTATTAAATGTCTTCGTAATTATGATTTTTGGTATAAAATTATTTCCAAGTTTCATATTTGTCAAGTTTAGTCCATCAAGGTTTTACCTATGGACATCTCATAAAGTTATTTTTGGTATGCGATTAAGTTTCAGAAGCATTTTGTCTGTATATCATGCATATTTAATGCTGCTTTATTTTAATTAGATAGAGTACTAAACGTGGTCTTAATCTATATTTTACAAACTTTCTTTTGCTCGCTATTTCTATTTGTACTTCTTACAATATTTTAATAACTTAAAAAATAGCAATAGTAAAGAAAATTGCGTTTTCTTGCAATTACTTTTATAATTTATTACTATTCTTGTCATTCTAACAGCTCTTTATCTTACGAATATAATTTTTACGTATATAATTAGAAACATTAATTTAATGTTGATAGAAATAATGAAAATCCATTCAATACTTTTCTAATCGAGCAACGAACAATTTCATCTATCGAGTATCACGTAATTTATCCGCACATATTTATTATCAAAATGGTTTTAACAATCATTCATTTTTTTTAATTTGAATATTATGCTTTTATTTGAGGATATGATCAAGCAAATTATATTATAAATTCCAGAATCAGAAGGTCTTATAACAATACCACTGAATATAATTGGTAATTGTCGTTCAAGGCTTATTGATAGTAATCAATTGAATATAATACAATAATCTTGTGTTCAAGGAAATGTCCAAGTATAATAAATTCAATTCTATAGAATACTACTAGGGAAATATATAATTGTATATATGTATTTATGTATAATTAGATTGTATAGATTATTCTTATAATAATTGAATTAAAAACATGACATGACATGATGACATATAATATTATTATCATATTGAGATTAAAATTATTGAAAACTCTTCATAATATTTAATTATGATTAATATAATATATTTATTTTATGTTGCTGTTGTTGTTGTTGCAAAGTTAATCAAATTTTAGTCTAGAGCGATCATTTAATCCTTCGTAAAAGAAATTGTCAACGATAATTTTTAAAAATTCAATATTATATAGTATATTTTTTATAAAAAAATTAAATTAATTACCATTTAAAAGCATTTCCCTTCTCCGATATTAAATTTTTCGCTACCAGAAACATCGCCTAAAAATATTATTAAAATTCACCGCGTTATCACTTAACATAATTGCTTTAAAATTTAATCGCAATAAAATTTTCTCCATCATTGAAATCGAAGTAAATTATACTGAGAGTGCTTGAGATGAAATTGTCTCATTAAATTGCAAATTTATTGGACGTAACACATTGCTTGTTAATGAAGTAACGCTACTCGCTAGTAACGTTCCGATCCGTTCATGTTACTGATTAATGAGTAGTAATTAAAATTAACAATGTAGGATAAATTGATTATTGGTATTTTTAATTATATTTGCTTACAGACATAATTGATCTGGTAGTCGGATGAGGGAGAACTGTTGCATAATAAAACTTAATGTTTCATTGTTCATCATTTTAAATTCACATTGTGAATAATGACTGCGAAAACATTTATTAATTGTGCTGCTTGTGGATTATTTCAAATGAATGAATATTATTATAAACTTTATATTTTGTTATAGATCATTGTGTACGTTGAAGTTTGAAAAGAAATGTTCTGGTCTTTCGATAAGGACGACAAAAGTGCTCGTATCTCTGGCTCTATTGGTTTCTCTTCGTCTGGCGTTGCTTCAAGGAACATGGCCAACATTCTCGCCTCAGGATAATCCGGCTTCATTCCATCCGAGTTTTTTCGTAAGGTGAATATTATATATTATATTATGAAAGTTTAACTATGTACTTATCAGCTTGTCTATGAACCAATAATCATGTTTTTTGAGTAGAAAAAAAAAGGAAGAAATGAACCCTAGCAGCCCTGTATGACAAAATTTTATTTATTTCTTTCTCAAAACTGCGAACTACAACAAACAAACTGACGTCGTAACAAACGTTTTATAAGTAAGAAATAAGATGCTAGTTACATTCGAATTTCATAATAGTCAGCTTGCATAATGCGTGTAGTTTTTCTTCAGCACAAACGACATGTTGAGCCAAGTTTGCAATTCAAGTTATATGTTTAGTTTATATTTTCTTGGTAATAATTCACAACAAAACTTCTAGATTCTTTTATCCTTGGTACAATATAACATCAAGCTGGCTGGCTTGTAAAGGAAACAGCTTGTTAGTAGTTTCATACTTTATTGACTACATTACTTAACGTAAATCTAAAAATATTTTTTTTAACCATTTAAATATAAAATAAAATTTTCAATATAAGGCAATTCAGCTGATTTAATATTGTAATTAGTTAATAAGTTTACATCACTTAATAAATTCTTAAATTTCAAAGGAATCAACAACATTTTGTTATTAAGAATTCAATTAAAACCCCGAAGTATACGAATTAGCTGTAAAAGCCTTAAAAGTTTTGATTTCCTAAATTAAATGACTTCATTATTTACTCCATTGTAATTTTACCCCGTGACGCTTGACATTAATTTACATTCCATTGTATAGTTGCAAAACTTCTAACTGGGTTCTAATTTGTTATTGTTAGCCCTTTGATAAACTTGGTTCGACTGTCAATCAATTAGGTTTTTATTTCAAATTAAAGCTATAAACATTACTGCCAGTTAAATCTAAAAGGTTCACTTGCTCTATCATTTTGTATTTAGTAATTATGTTTAATTTCAACACTACACCTTCAAATAAGGAAAAATTAAATCTCTTCTAACGTTGTAAATGGAAAAATCTTGTCAAAAGAAAGTGTTGTTTAGCATTTTCTTACTTGAATATTTTTCTGGTGCATACAATGTGAAAGGGATTCTTTTGCGGAACGCTGAAAGTAATAGTAATTGTAAACTCTATTTAAATAAAGAGATGACTTCCTGGAGTCTTTAGTTTTAAAATATAATTGGACTTATAGAAAGATACTTTCTTTATAATGAAATTTTCGTAAGTTTTATCATTTTAATGAAACGAATATTTTTCGGAATATACTTCGCGACTTTATTTTAGTAAAAAAGATTCCATACACCTGACGTTTCGGCTGCTTTTTAGCAACCGTGATCACGGGCAAACGAAATGTGAATTCACATCTCGTCTTTACCAAAATAAAGTCGCGTAGTATAATTCGAAAAATATTACTTTCATTTAAAAGATACTTTTTTTATTTTTATTTCTCTCCATATAGGTTGATGACTTTTTGCTACTTGGCGGCTTTCAATTGGTGGTTGTTACTATGTCCATGGTCTCTAAGTCACGATTGGCAGATGGGTTCTGTTCCACTCATCGCTAGTGGATGGGATCCCAGAAACTTGTTGACGTGTGCTGCTTTTGGTGCTTTGCTGGTCCTTTGCTACAGATGTGTTACAGATTTAGATGTAAGTTGACCTTTTGAAAATTTCATACATACCATGTTCTAATAGTTCATATAAGTTATAAGATGATGGGAAGTAACTTCGATTTTCACTCATTGAATAAAGTTCATATTTGCCAACGACTGCAGTTGAATAGGAGTTAAAGACATTTTTAAGTCAAAGAAAGTATATGAGCGAATTGTTTTAATTCGTAACGTTAATATTAGAAACTGACCATTTAAAATATGAGGAAAACGAATTGAGTTTTATAATATTACCATAAAAAAACCGTTTAAAAATAGTCATAGTTTAGAAGTCTAGTGGACACAAGTACTTGAAAAACCCATACTTTAATATTAATATGAACAAAATATTTAAATAAATTTAAGAAAAACTCTCCAGCATTATAATATCGGATTGGCATTTGGCATTTCAATTTTGTATGCCTTTGATCTTCAATTACATTAAATTTACATATATGAAATTTATAAAGAAGGTTTACAGAAATTTCTCATTTCAAAATTAATAAGAAATTAAATGATTCGGTATTTTATATAAAATTGGTATGTTGTACAAATATTTACAAGGCTAAATGAAATTTTCGATATGAAAACGATTTTCGTTGAAATAGAAATATGTTATTTAAATTATTTGTTCTACTAAGTGAATGTACATATTTGATTTAACTTAAAACGGGTAATGGACTTTAATGTTTAGATTTATGTGGTATGATTGTAATAAAAATTCAATTAATGATGGACCTTACTCGTTGTACTGACAACGTACAAATAATGTGTCTTAATAAAAATACCTAATTCTGTTTAAATTGATATTTTATATATGACCAATTAATTTAGAAAATGTTGAGCGGAATTTAATGTTTAATGTTCGTAATTGAAATCAAAGTAATTAATTGCTAAAGTTTAATACATATTTAGACTCGATATGCAAGTTTATTTAATATTCTCAGTTGCAATTTGAAATAAACATATATACGACATTATCTAAATCACCTTTTATATGCTAGTTTCAAGACATAATAAGCGCATTCAGCTTGCAACCAGAGCGATAAACTGGAAAATTAAGAAATCGTTGGCTATCAATGACAAATAAAAGACTAACTGACAGACACTTTTATCTCCTCTGCCCGTGATCATGATCGCTGTAAAGAAACCGAAACGTTGGGATTATGTAGTTATAAAAAATAAAAAACTCGTAGTATCTGAAAAATTAAGTTTTATTTGGATATGGAGTGTCAAAACTAGTATATAAAAGTGTTAGTTAAGAATTTTGTATAGTATTTTTATGAGGACTAAAGTTGTGGTTTCGATTTAATTTCCTTTTAACATACATATAATTTATCATTATATTATATAGATTAGAGGTCTTGGTTTAGTCAGTACAATTTCAATAACAATCATATTAACAGGTACAAAGACATACGCCTGCTGTTATCGGCTTACTGTTGCTGGTGGTACCATTCGTGCCTGCTAGTAACCTACTCGTCACCGTCGGATTTGTCATTGCTGAAAGAATTCTTTACATACCTAGGTAGGTCACAGAACATTTGTCGTACATTTGTCTAATCACATTATAGTAGCTATTGTTCGATGTTTTGTCAGTCTTAATAGGCATACTATTTTATTGTATACAAAATATACTTTGTGTGTAAAAGTTAAGGAGATTGTTATCTAAGACGTATTAATAATTGCAATAATTTTATCAATAGCGTTGGAAGCGTCATTATAACAGCCTACGGTGTGCAACTTATGTGGTATTCGAAGCCAGGGACCAAGTTATGTTTGATTGTGGGACTTGCGGTGCTTGCTGCTAGCGGTGTGGCAAGGACATATAGAAGGAATGCTGACTGGAAAGATAGATCAACATTACTTAGGTATATATATTTATCTATAGATTATAGTTTATTCAAATTTCTTAAGTAAAATAGAATGAAAAGGCTGTATTTGTGAAATAACAAGTATTCTTATATCACAAACATTTAAAACAATACATTGATGTTCAATAAAAAGTATTCAACTTGACATAAACATTCACAATTTATGATTCTCACTCTTTACGATCTTTAAATTCAACATATTACCTAAATGTGTTTTGTTTTAGAGCGGATTTAGTGACTTTGCCGCAGAATGCCAAACTGCACTACAACTTTGGCAACTTCCTTCGAGAAACAGAGCAGCAAGACAACGCTATCAAACATTACAAAGAAGCTTTGAGGTGAGGTTTATGTTGCACTTCAAATATTTTCCCTACTTAATTGAGAACATTCGAACTACAAATAAACAACCTTTGTTATATAAATGTAATATTGGGATCGTAATATTATCAACTCGGAAGATATTTCATGTAGTTTTAAAAGTATTTTCATTTCATTGTTTTAAAGAATCTATTTAGTTATCTCGCTCTAGCATGACAAGATAGCGTAGAACAATAAAATCTGTGAAGTTTAAAACAATTTCCACGCTTTTCGAATTGTATTATAAGGTTTGGTCCTAAACATTACTACTTTGGACTTTTGTGATCTAAGTCTTTCGTTAGTATTCATTGAAATAAAACTAATATTTTTCGAATTTACTAGGTTTTTGTAATTATTTTTAAAAACATATTTTCGAAGTTTCGGTTAGTTTGCAGCAATCGTGATAATGGGTACATTTTCATCTCGTCTGGCCGTGATCAAGGTTGCTAAAAACTAAGTGAAAAGTCGGGAATATATTATTAAAAATATAAATAAACGCGTAGTAGATCCAAAAAATATTAATTTTATTATTACTTTTCTTAAGCCAAATGATTAACAAATTAACTAAACCTATCACCAAATTATTTAAAGGCATAATATATCAAATACAAATTACATTTCTTTGTATAATTTTCTGAATTTATTAAGTAGATGTGTTTAAATATGTATCTAGGCAGTGGGCTATATATGTATATGTATGTATTGTTCTAGATAGTTTGTAATAACAATAACAGAAGCATAATTTTTGTATCTACATAATCTAACAGGTTATGGCCGACATACGCGAGTGCTCACAATAATATCGGCACTCTCAGTAACGCGGAGAATGCGGAACAGCACTTCTTATCAGCGATTTCACACAACAGATACCATGTGAATGCTCACTACAATCTGGCGAAACTTTATAAGTAAGTGATTAACTAGAGTAAACGGGATCCATATAACAAGCTTTTATATGGTTATTTTGATACGATTATTATTAGCGTTAGATGATGTGCAACAAAAACATACACTTTTAGATGATAACAGTGTGTATGTAATACATATTTACAAGCACAAATTTTTAAATCCTCGATGAATAAGGAATAATAAAGAAAATATTGAATAAAGTGATAAGTCAAAATTAAATATTTGTATTGTACTTGATAGTATTTAATGTGATGTGAGTGCCATTTAGTTATTATTTGGAAAGAAAAAATTAAACCACTGCAAATTTTTTTATGTGTTTACATTATACAAGCAGTTTTTTCGTTAAGATTGCAAGTTTATACTCCGACCACTGGTTTTTCATTATTCTCATTTGATTATTAAACTCTTTTTCTGTATGTTCTGTATTTTTTTACATAAGTTTATTTTTGTCCGATTCCTCGCAACTTTTAACATCGCATTTTTATAATATTTTAAACTTAGTTTTAGTACCAGCAACTTCATTTAAAGTTTAATTAGGTTCCGAAGTTAAAAATGTGGCCGTAGCATCTGGTAACACCAACATAAGTGTTCTGAATTTTATATTTTCAGGATCTAAAAATAATGTTCATCTTTTTGGGAATAATTTATCGGTGAACTGGTTATGTTATTATTTATAATGGCCAATTTAAGTGATTAATGGAAGTTCTATATTCGATGGGTTAGTTTTTTAAACTTCAAGCATCCTGTAGAATACAGATGCTATAGAAATACAGGAAGAATGAAATACTATAATTGACGATCACAGTTATAATCGTACCCTTCCAATAAACTTTCAAATGAAATGGTAGTTTACATCTAGTCATGATCAAGCACAATATAATTACTCATAAACGACCTTCCTTATACAGAAAACATCAAATTAACTTTCTTATTATTAATTAACACAAATTCACTTATAAAAACTCACTTAACTATAATTTAATCAAAAATTACCGTTTTTAATCAATATACTGAATTAAAATCTAAACTAATATGCTTAAAAAATTGACTACATACAATTGTTTGATTGTTGTTTTTCATAAAATAATCAGAAATTGCTTTATACAGGAAAAGTGGCCGAATAAACCAGGCGGTGAGAATGCTCGAGCGCTGTGTGGTACTCCAGCCACGTTTTGTTCAAGCCTACATTGAATTGCTGTCCTTGAAGCCGGAACCTGAAAAGGCGAGAATATTGGCACGAGTAGTTGAATTGGAGCCCAATAATTGGGAGCATTACATTTTATATGGAAACTGGTATAGGAATAAAGGTACGTCGAAATATACTTATGATGTAGTATGGTAATATTAATTATTGTATTTAAAAATACAACTAGGTATAAAAACCATATTTTCTGTAAAATTAATACAAAATTCGTAAGTCAGTATTTTTTTATGATTTTGTCTCTGCTTATCTAGACGAATGTTTAAATTAGATCAAATATTATATTTTTTGTTAAATTACTACAGAATTCGTAATTTGGTAATTTTTTTTAAATATTATATTGCCTCAGCTTATCGACGGCAATGTTTGAAATATTGCTTCTAGAATTCTAAACGATATCAAACTGATCGTATCTTATACTTTTATATCACGTTTTATATTTTTATATAGGATTACCAGGAGCCGCCGCAAAATATTTCGTAGAAGCCACAAGACTTAGTTTCAGAAATAGAAATGTTGAAAAAGCAATGAGGGGTGATTTGATCTCACTCCGATCAACGGCACTTGTATACAGGAGTCTGGGACAAAAATCGAGGGTCCTTCAACTTTTAACCAGGTAAATATAATTGATTCCCTTTTTTGCCTTTGAAATATAATCAAATCGGAAAGGGCTCGGAGTCCTTGAAAGTTAATAAACTTTTAATTTTTGTGTAAATCTATATTCTTTCAGAGGGAACGGAAGGTTCTCTTTGGCTAAAAGGATTTTCTTTGATATTGTAATATTTTGTTACATCTTCACAAAGCATTTATTGAAAATGTTTTGTTGTGTATTTTATTTCAATTTTTTTTATTATTAAGAAATCTTTCAACATTGAAAATTTTAAGAGCCTTAAACCATTTAACCATTACTTTCGGTCTACTAATTATGATTGACGTGTAAGTGTTTGTGTTTATTATAAATTCTTTTATAATACCTATTAATTTTTCCAGTGCAAATAACTAAAGTTCATAAAATAAATGGTTAATTATTAAGATTAAACAATTTATTAATTATTATATATAATACACGATCCTGGTAATTATAGAACGTTATTGTGATTATATCAAACAATGCATTCACGCCAAAATGAACGTATAAATGGGAGATATAACACAATGGTTGGACAATATGAATATCCTTTGTCACAAACACTGAATTCCGCGAATGCTTTATTATTTTAACATCCATGTTGTTATAAACAGATTTTTTGATTTTAAATTCAAATAACTTTTTCCTTTATTGCAAAACGTTGCAATTTTAGTCTTGGCTTTTATTTTCCATAGTATTTGATTAGAATTTATTGCTAGTCTTCCGTTTCAATCACCATAGTTTTGAAATAATAATTCCATGTAGCAAGAGATATTAGTATGTTTATAATAACTGAATTATCAGCTATAATAAGAGTTATTTATCACAAGGTGGCACACTTGGCGTCGTGGTTGGCCGAGTACTGCTGCTGCTCACATGTACTTACAGGAGTGGCGTCTGAGGATGGAGCTAGAAGGAAGAGTTCAGATTTATTCGAAAGCCGTCAATCCCACAGTAAGTTATAACTCAGAGTATGTATCGACTGTGATACAAACTGGAAGAAACTTCTCAATAACTATGTCATCTTTAACTTACGTTGATTCAAATTATTATTGTTTTGTATTTGGTAAAATTGTAAATTCTTAAAACTGAAAAAATAAAACGTATCGTGTTGAGAACCTTATGTAAAAGAATATGTCGTTAGTCCTTTTCATTCATAATAATCATCTTTTAATTTCTACCCAGAAATCGAAGACTTGTTTCGACCACTCACAACTAGCAGTTGGGTCTGCCACAGACAGTGAAGAAAATAATTCAAAGTACGAAGATAGAATTAAAGAAGAACAAGTTAGAGATAATACAGAAGTCGCTTTTGTTACAAAATTAACAGTTGATAGAACGTGTGATAGAAAAACTTGTGAGGGTAAACGTGATCTCTCAGTATCCACTCAAATAAAGACAACACACAATAAATCAGAAATTGGACACAAAGAAAAAAAGTGTACGCATAGAAAAGAAAAAAATGGGAAGAACATGATGCGTGATATCGCGGCTCCCCTATCAGAACATATTTTAATGAAGACTTTTTAAATCTTGATTGATTGATCCTGTGTTGAAAGTGATGAGGGAATCTTACGACTTTATTTTATGTGAAGTTAGTTTTAATACGCTGACAATATCGCGAGGTTAAACCGTATTTAAGGCAAAGTTTTAATATAAGAAATTTTAAAAGGTTGAAAACGTACAAATGTTTTCCATATTGTAAATTGGTTGTGAATTTCATTGTAACTAATGACGCAATATATTTTTAATTATCACCAGCTCCGGATTTCGTTTTAATTATTTTAAAAAACCTATTAAAATTTCTTATGAACTAAGACATTAGATAGAAAATTAATTTTTAATGAAAGTTTTGTAGAAAGATATGATGGAATATTTATATTTTTGCCAGAACATGAATGACTGTGTAGGGTGTACCACCAAGTTTTTACGCTAGATTAGTGTTATAATACGTAAATTGTAAATGGGTTTCTTTGTGGTGAAAAATTTCCCGGAAAAAAAATTGTTCATAAAATTTTATGTTTCATACACTATTTAAAACAAGGGGTTTAGATATTTGGCGATGTTTCAGCTATTTGCAGACGTAATTACTATCAGACTGTACACAGTATGAAATTGCTTGGCCTGAATGCTTCAAAACAAGCACTGTATATAACATTAGGGTGACAATGCATCTCTCACGTGATAGACACGCAGTATTATATAATTTGATAACAAAATAATCCTAACAGGTCCTAATTTATTGACAATATATGTATAATTATTCAATACTAATGGAATATACAGTTAATAATAGACGATTCAATAAATGTACATCTACATACTTTTATTATACCTATTATTGTTAATGAACAATAATTTATGTTATAATTTGATATATCCATGTAAATACTACTGTAAGTGTAGACTAAAGGCACTTTATAATGCTTTAAATGTACTGATAAATAATAAACCATTGAATAACTCGATGTTGTTTTAATTCAAAAGGTAATTATACAATAGAAACAAGATATTGAACACATACAGAAATATAAACAATACCTTAATTGATTATTTGATACGTGATAATATTTTTGTTTTTGTTTTATCTGAGGTAAAAATTAATGATTAATGAAGAAGTATCGAATTATATAAGAATATGACATTCATCATCAGCCTATCAGAGTCCACTGCTGAGTAAGTTGAGAAGATTTGAGCATTAATCACCACGTTTGCTTAAGACGGGTTGGCGATTTCAAACTTATAATTGTGAAATTATAAGTCCAGGTTTCCTCACGATATTTTTCTTCATTGTCACTCAGTAGTGTCTAAATACTCTTAGAAATGACTTGACTTACATATGTCTCCGGAAAAACACATTGGTACTTACCAGGTTTTGAACCCGCGCCCTCAAGTATTAGAGGCGGGCCTTTAACCACTAAGCCATCACAGCTCATGACATAACCATATGATGTAAGTAGTTAATACAATAAAAAAATAATGTACACTTAATTTTTTTGTTGTGTGTTTTGTACTGTCTTAAAATTGACTGAACGCTTAAATTTTTTTTCAAAACATATTATATATATTATAAAGAGGAAAACTTATATAAAAGCATGTCATTAAACATAAGAAATAAATGTAATTGTAAGCGACAAAGTTTCGGGGTACGACTGATAAGAAGTCAAAGTGAAATTCTTTTGACATTTAATGGCAAAAAAAGCTAAAAAAGTCTCGCATTTTTTAAGTTTATTTAGCAAGAAAATTATAAGTTATTTATTAACTTATTACATTTATCATGTATCAAAATGATTAATTTCAAAAATCTTTATATAGTTACAGCTGTAATAGATTTGTACATATTTATTTTACAACAAAACAATAATAGTTTTTTCATAGATATAGCATTTCAAAATGATGTCTAAATTGATTTTTTTACTGATAAGAGATAAAAAATTCTAAAAATAAAACCATAATATAAATAGCACACAGTTTATATTAGAAAAGATCCGAGAAAATATTAATAGTTTTAAATTAATACAAATAATATTTAACAATAAAGCTATGTACGATTTTCCAGTTCCTTAAAGACAGGTCCCTGGCCAAATAAACATTCCTTAATTCAAAGCATGAACTTGCTTGTTTAGTTAAAATATATATACGTAGATATTTAGAAACTTACAATTAAATAGTTAACGGGAAAAAAAACTTAAATAGAAGTCATACTAAGAAAGTCTTCTCTTCTCTGGAAACATTTTATTTATATTGCTAATATTATCCGTAGTTATCTTAAAACAAATTTGTTAATACAAAATTAGCAAAAAATCCCGACGATATCTAAAATTTTCATGTGTATTCATTTAAATAGAATTAATATTTAATTAAAATCTGATTTAAGACGCGTAATAATATTAGAAAATCTAAGTTTTCTTAAATAAAAAATTGTTAGCAAACTTATATTTCTATTATATAAAAGGAAGTTTCTTTATATGTTGTGTATATTTTTATAGGAATACAAGCTATATTTACAGCAAAAATTTTCACATTTATTTTTCAATTTGAAGTTAGTATAGAATAAAGCAGCTGCGTTCTTCCCACACTGCCATCAATTATGTAAAGTAAACATGTTTCAACCGATACTCCGATACTTTGATATCGCGATCCACGAGCTTCCTTTGAAACTAAACTAACTGACGTAATTTAACTTAGCTTTAATTACATTACATAGTTTTGATCTCGACTATAGTGTTTCCGTGTTGATATTTACAGATTAATATTGTGAATATGATAAAATTTATATAATATTATTTACTGAAACTGATTTTACTTTTAATGTTATTATTTTACACCCTTCTTCTCATATACAACGAAACTGATGAACATTAATGACTCATAAACATAAAATTATGGTTGGCATTAACTTGATTTTAAAATTTTTAAGGACATCATTTTACTCTTCTACAAATTTTCATTTAAAATGTATGCGTCTAAATAATAAAAACTCTATATGTACAAAGCTGCTAGATAGTAAAAAAAGTTATTATAAAAATAAAATTTGAAAGTGAATAAATAAAAGACGTCATATTTTTTATTTAAGTGTTCATTCACTTAATAATGATTTATGATTTTGTTTGCTACATACAGTTTAGGTTTAAGCATAACTTTTAAGGAGCCGAAAGAATAATGTAACTTTACGCAATAAAAGATCGTGAAAACAATAAGAATAAATTATTATAATTTATTCTGTTTCAGTGTGGGTAGGCCCCCAACAAGGTGGTCCGACGACCTGGTCGCGGGAATCCGCTGGATGCGGGTGGCACAAGACCGGTCGTCGTGGAGATCCTTGGGGGAGGCCTATGTCCTGCAGTGGACGTCTTTTGGCTGATGATGATTCTGTTTCTATGTAAAATTAAAAAAAAAATCTTTCATCATGGGAAGCCATCAATGAATCATGAATTCGTTTTTATAAGTCATATGATAGAAAACTTTTCTAACTAGCTTTATATTTCATTAACATTTTCTTATTTCTGTCTTAGAAAGACAAAAAAATTGTGGTACATCTAATCTAGTCAGTGGTGGCCTGGTGGTTAATGAAAAGAGGTGAAAAGAGGCCTTTGCTCAGCAGTGGGCTCTAATAGGCTGATGACGACGACGACATCTAATTTACAATTGTAACTAAGAACTAATTTTATAAGTATTATATGTAAGTGTCCAAATATGAATATATTTTTGAACATATAAAATTTTGTTAAGATGGCAGACAAAGTCGCTGGAAGATTTATATCCATACAAACATAATAGATCTTTTCTGCATTCTATTTCTATTATGATGTTGTATTTTTTTTTGGTACATATATAATTAAATAACTTATTAACGAAAAACTGCGTAAGTGGTAAATTTTTTTACATTTTTCACTTGCTGTTTAGTCGTAATAAAAATGTTTGTTGTAGAGGAATTTATAAAAATCACTTCAACAAGTTCGCCTATTGATTTTATAGTACAGATACCACAGCAATGAAACGTTAAATATTATAATCACATGTGACAGCGATCCGGTTTGAGTCGGTTGTAAAACGTTCTTTTAAAATGTTCCGCAGCTTTTATTACATTTCAATCGTTTGACACAAAGAAAACAATACAAGTAAACTTTCAATAAAAAAGTATTGGATAAACCATTTAGTTTACTTTTATATTAATCTCAAATATAGACAAACAGACAGATAATTTTTCGTGTAAAGATTTGACAGTCTACGTTTTCTAAATCTAGATTTATTACTATACTCCATATCATCTGCAGTTAACATAATTAGACGGTAAATTATTACCGTCTATAATATTATTAATGAACAGTATACTGTATTATGTTCTTTCCATTGTTGATGTAGAAAATAAAAATGTTTACTGAAAAGTGTACATTATTTTGTAATTAAACGGTGATTAAAAAATATACTATATATTTTGCAGAAATTCCTTTCAATAACGTATTTTATTTATTAAGTGCAATATTTAACAATAAATTTCTGTTAATTTACAAATACTTATTTTATATAACACGCTTTGTAAATTATTCTAGAAAATGCATCGGAACAATTGCAACCAAAACACATTTAAAATATCAAAGAAAATAACGAAACAAAATCCTATTCATTTACGTCTTTACTTTCAGCTGTTTCAAAATGTTCCTGAATTATAAATGAAGTTAAGTGTATTCCAAAACACGTTCTTAATGCATGCCCCATTTGGAACCGGAATGCACTAAATGTATTAGAATTTGTAGAACAATCCCACGAGAGTCAGACAAAGGTGGAACTCTCAGCATCAGATTAAAAATGTACGAAAGCCGAGTTCACACAGCCGACCTCTCATTAGTAAGTGACAGTTTGTCTCAAACAAACGTTACACTGTCAATGGATATTTAACATGAGTGTGTATTACACCGTGCCTCGCAGAAAATATCACATGATAACATGAAAATGCTTATAAAAATATAAATAAATGAAAGAAATTGTTTTTTCATATTTATGTCGAGCCATTAACAAGACTTTGTAAT